CCAAGTAAAATCCTTTGTGGGAGCAAGTCAATAATCAGCAAATTAGGTACATGATTAACCTGAGACAACAAGATGCAGTTCCTGTCTGAGAGCCCTGCTGAGATTTAACCTTCTCAGTATTACTGTTTAGCAAATATTCCAAATGCCTGGTTTAGTCAGTCAAACTGATGTAGCTGTAAACTTGTCTAGAAGCAGTCTTGTGTGCCATGTGCATAGGGAATGGAGCTCTGGGGGGAAAAGTGAAAATGCAGTTTTGAGTGGCAAGCAGACTACAAACAGGAATGCATTGCTTTCAAGCAAGATTCTTCCAACTTGTTTAGTAATACGTAGAAATAACAAAACGCACATTGCAGGCTTGAATGATCAATAGGAAAGAAGGAGAAGGTAGTCATATTAATAAACTTGATAATGTATAGAAAATGAACTGTAGATGTCAAATAATACATGAATGGCTTTACAGAGATTACAGCAATTATGATAATGCTACACATTGGTAGAACATTTAAAATGACACATGGAATAAGGTAACCTTAGATAGAAGCATCATTATAATGTCTGGAGAAGGTAGTGCATGAAGTGGTAAGGTTTTCATTTCCAGCAGTGTCGTATACTTATAAATTTTCAATGTCAAAATGAAAATTGTTTTCATTTATAGCAGGAAATGGCTTTATTTGAAACAACTTAAATAGCCAGAGAGCCTTAGTGTTACCTTGTTTTTAGCCAGTGCTCAAACACACTTAGGTGCTCTGGCCACCTTATGACAGCTGAGCTGTTATTACTGAATGCTGTGCAGCAGCACTGGACTGGTTGAGTGGTGTCATATTCAAATGTTGAAACAAATTGGTTGGCTGTCACTGTGGGTATCAGATGTTTCATGGGTGTATTTTAATGAATAATTACCAACTGGATTTTATGAAGAACTAATTCTAACGCACTTTGCAAGCGAGTTTCCCTGACATATGTTTTCTTGGCCACTTAGGTCTTACAGGGCTTTGGCATAAAGACAAATGCTAGCCACAACTCCAAACATGTTTTTTCTTCCTCCCTCCTCCCCCACTATTTGAATATGCATCCATTAAGAGCACTAAAAAATTCTTTCTTTTCAATTCCTAATTTCAAACACCGTTGGAGATTTTGTGGAGGCATGCAAATAATAGCTTCAAGTCTAAGAAAAATCAAAGATATCTGAAGGAGGCTACAAGGATGCTGGAGAGTGAACTTCATCAGGGACTGTAGTGATAGGACAAGGGGTAATGGGTCCAAACTGAAACCAGGGGAAGTTCAGGTTAGAGATAATGGCTCTTCCCTGTGACGGTGGTGAGGCACTGGCATAGATTGCCAAGGGCTGTGGCTGCCCCATCCCTGGCAGTGTTCAAAGCTAGGCTGGACGGGGCTTGGGTGCTATATGGATAGCATTGAGCAGTGTAGTCACTTTGGTATATGTAAAATTCCAAAGCTGTTTTGCTGACTCCCCATGATTACCGGAAAAAAAAGTCCTTATTAGCCTGTGAATAAAATGCTTAGGAGGATAGAAAGCACCAAATGGAGAAATGATAAAAACAAATTGCCCAGAAAGAACTTAGTATGAGATTTAGGTTTGTAAATAAAGGTATGCAGTAGGGTTTTGGTATGCTGTGTATTAAAAATAAACCAACTTATTGAGAATGTGAGTTGAAATTTCATTAGAAATACAGGCTGGCAAGTCACTGCTTCTATGGAGCTTTAATCATAGTAAATATTCCCCACTGCAAAACTGATCTCTGAAGATGTAGTCATTTGGAATTTCTGGTGCATTTTGTTTCTGAGCAGCTTTTGGCATTTTTGTGTGACTTTTGGCATGAAGCCCTGAAATATAAAGGATCATTAAAAGAAAAAAAGTCAGTGAAAGTTCAGAATTACTTCAGAGGTTCAGTTGGGTTTGACAGATCCATTCCCCAATTCATGTGACTTAGTAGTCTCTTCCTTAGCAGTTGTGTTAGATTAAAAACTCTACAGTTGCTTCCTAATGATCATGAAAGTGCTTTCATTCTTTTCCCAGATAGTTCTTCTATGCATAATTGTCAACAAGTAGCTTTAAAGCAAGAGTGATATCTTCAGCACAACATTATAGTCTGAGGTTAATCATGCAGCTGGTAAATCAGAAAATTAATGATCTAGAGAACCATGTGAAGAAATCTTACCCAGTTATGAATTCACAGCACCATCTTGGTGACCCTTTAGTCAGGGCATTCAGATTTTGGAGTACCTGGTACTTGCCGACACATTAAGATTTGTACACCCAGGAAACCACCAGCAGATACATTCTCTTCCTTCTTTTTCCTCAGCACTGAGGAATCCAAAGAGGGATAAAAATGTATTGTTATGTCCTGTATCAGTTTGCACCAGTACTTTACCGTTCATAAAGTTATTCAGGTTTAGTCATTTTGCCTTTGCCTGAGCTTGAAATAGTTCTTCATAGTTGAATTAAAGAGGGGCAAAAGCAGTCATAACTTTACCAAAGTTAAAATTGTAGCCTTATGGGAGGTCATGCCAAGGGACCTGCTCTCACTAGGTCACACCCCATCATTGTGAAAAGAGATTCTGTAGCTAAAACTACTTCAAACTGTTTCAGCCTGAATACTCTTCCCCTTCGATCTTGCCAACTGCTGAGCTTTCTCTACTATATGAGTTAGAATCAGCATCAAACAGAGGGGAGGCAGAGGAACCTGCCAGCACAAGCAGAGACGAACAGCATGTTGCCAGTGAGAAATGTCAGCTTTTATTGCTACTTCCTTAGTTGACCCTTTGTGAACAATTGTTCCGAAGAGCAAGATTTCTTTTTCCCAAGATGTTGCCCGAGTAATAACATTTCCCAAGGAGGTGATGAGTCTGTCCTTAACCTCTGACTGTTAGACGATGGGTTTTAGCAATATTTCCAGATGTCATTGATTTAAGAGATATAGATGTGTGTGTGTTTGGCACCTCTGATACTCTGAAAGTGACTGACATGCCAGAATTCTCTAAATCTCTGGTCTACATTGGCTTAAATGTACTAACTTACCTGATTTACCTTCTCCTGAAATAATCCTTTGGGGGGAAAAAGAAAGGGCTCAGGTGGATGGCAATCTGATATTAACAGTTCAGTGACAGTTTCTATTCCACCTCTCCTACTCTCTCCCACAATTAAAGGCAAAGGAAATTGTGGATAATGCTCTCACAATAGCTTTCAATATTAGTAGACCTGGGCTCAAATTCTACCCTGCCATGGATTTCCTTTGTGGTTGCATATTGGTGTCAGTTCCACATGTTTAACTGGAAGGTAACGGTACTTCCATACTTTTCCCTTTGTTGTAAGGCTGAGTGTATCAAGGACTCTACACTGCTCGTATATAACTGCTACAGATTTTCAAGTAGAAAGGTCAGCTTTCATACCCAGTTTTGGAGAGATGTGTAGCATGGCACTTAGTGTTAAATCAGTTCATTTGCCTGTCTCTTCTACTAGAAGGGAGAATCTTCACTATTTTATTGCATATTGTATGTTATTTACTAGAACTCACTGTTAATGAGTAGAATGCAGTGCACGGAACAGCCCTCTGTGGATGTTTAGTCTGTTTAGGATGCAAGATTACAGTTTTCTATTTCAACTGAAAGCAAGTGAAGGTGTATGTTTTCCCATAGCTGTCGCAAGTACAGACTGTATGTGCTAGAGGGAAATGCAATGAAACTACTGGCAAGCAAGCAAGCACATGCTATTACTGTATTTTATTGAACACATACATCTTTCTTTAGACATGTCTATCTCTCTCTATCTACTCCTACATAGATAAATGTGTCTAAAACAAGATGTGTTTTCATGGGGGACTTGTTATACAACTATCAAAAAATTAGATATATCGTTTTTGTTGTTTCCTTAAGGGCTTCCCTTAGATAGGGACTATGAGAGCTAGTAAGTCGAGCATTAGCATCAGCTTGAGGGCTTCAGGATCACAGACATCAAAAGCAGACAAAAAGCCTATTAGGACAGCTAGTCCAGCTGCTTTGTTATGCAGTTATTGCCTGTTGTAGATTAACCAATATTTCTTCCAGTCCTGTTTAATTGTGTGGTGCGGTGGCATCTCCGCTGGGAGGCTATTTACTGAGCTTAATAGATGGGACGCTTATCTGACATTCATCTTAAATTTCTTTCTTTCTTTTTTTAGTTTCATGCCATTAATGGTGCCATTCCTCTTATGTTCTAAATAATCACTTACTCTGCTTGATCCCTTTTCCAAAGATTAATGTAATGTTCTACCTTACTTGGAAGCCATCCAACCAGAACTTCTCAATTTTCCTTAATATAAGTTCAATTCTTTCAGCCACTTGATTTGTGTTATTCCTTTCCATGCTCCCTCTGGTTTTTGTATCCTACTTGTTCCACATACAAACTCAGGTAAGCAGCTCCTACTCTGTGATGTAAGCTTGTACAGTGTCTTTTAATCAGGTGCTAACATTAGACAAACACATTTCTTGTTTGGGGTGTTGCTGTTTGTTTTGACGTTCTGGGGGCTTCCATGCAATTATATGTCTGGAGCTACATCCAAGAATTCTATTCCTCTTGCAGCAAGAATTTATTGTAGCAATTGCTTAGAAAAATGTGTATCTCATAGGGTGAAGGTTTTCAGCGTTGAAAGCTGTGTAGGAACCTAAAATTTGATGGATCATATCACTGATTTCCATTTCTTTTTCAAAACCCAACCTGTCAAGAAATACCATTTGTACAGATTTTGATCACGTATGCAGAGCAAAGATGCATGACTCTATGGCACTGTTTAAGAAAGACAAGAGTCACAGAATCTCTGTGTGTGCCAAAGTTGACTAGTAAATATTAGTTTCGTGTTGACGTATCTTCTAGAAATACCACTTTCTGACCAGGTAGAAGAGGAAATATGGTGTGAGATGTTGAGCTGACAGGTCTGTTTGTTTGGGGGTTTGTTTGTTTGTTCTTTTTCTTTCCCCCACCCCCCTGTTTTTTCCTGCTGCAGTACGATTTCATGGAACGCTTGGATGGGAAAGAGAAATGGAGTGTGGTGGAGTCCCCACGGGAACGTCGAAGTATTCAGACCCTTGTTCAGAATGAGGCTGTGTTTGTTCAATACTTGGATGTGGGTTTGTGGCACCTGGCATTTTACAATGATGGCAAGGACAAAGAAGTGGTCTCTTTCAGTACAGTTATTTTGGGTAGGTGTCTCCACAATCTGAACATTGTTCCTCTCTGTTTATACTTTGCCTTAATTAAAGCCGTAATACTTTGTTGTGGTCTTCAGTATTAGTCCTGTTTATCCTTATGTTATGGGGTTGTTTGGGTTTTTTTCCTCAATACTATGTCAAAAGGTCTGCAGTGTGGTGCTGATCTGAATTTGCTTATTTCTCTTTTAAGATTTTAGCATTCCCATAGATCTTAAGTTGTGGAAAGCAAGGCTCACATCTAAGTTCAGTCTGAGTTGAAGCATTCCCCAGTTAATATTCTTCTCCTTTATCTATGTTATACTTCCTGTTTGCTTCTCTGGAGAAGCTTCTTTATCTGGAATAAAGAGTATTCTTTATTATGGAAGAGGATCTATCAGGAGAGCTGTTTAATCATAGTAGAAAGCACAACAAACTGACACCTGCGAATGAGGTTATTGTTTGCAGAGATTAATTGAGAATGTCAGTTAGCTGTATGCTGATTTACAGCTTACTACTCACTACCTACCAAATAGTAGGTCATATCCTCAACATGGTAGAATCAAGAGCAGAAGAACATCTAGCCTATGATCTAGCCTATGACCTGCAGTTTGTTAAAAAAGTAGGGTTACATTTAGCTGAAAATCAAACCAAGTCTAAGTTCTTCCAGGTTTCTTAGAAGGTTTATTGAACTTTGAAGCACTTAATGAACTTTGCTGAATATCTTGTCACAGTGGCATAAAAATTCTGTCATAGTCTCTGTGTTATTCTGTCCTGGCTGGTGAAGTGTTAAATGGCACTAGATTGTCTAAAATTGTAATACCTGTTAGTTTAGGGGAAGAGTCCAAGTGAGTTTTTTAAGCTTGGTGGGAAAAGGTTGGAGGTCTTTTGCAGTCTTACCTGAGTAACGATACGAAGCTTATATTTTTTTCTTTTACATTAGTATAAAATTCAGTTTGTTGGCTTAAGACCCAAAGGGTACTGGAGGACAGCCAATACTCTGTCATTAAGCATGAATCTAATTTTTTCTGTTAACCTCAGTTGAGGTGAAAACATTCTTCCATAGCTTACATCTGGTTATGTAAGAGCTAGTAGGTGCTATGCATGTGGATATATATATATCTGCATATTTGCCTATACAAGACTTTGTCTGCTTCTTCAAAACCAACAAGAACATTTGTGCTTGTATCCTGTTACACACCTATTGTGCTTAGAAAACCTTCACATATGATAAGCTGTCCTTAAAAGAGTTGCCTGGCCTAGGCTACAGCTTTTGAGAGCATCAAAGGTCTAATAGTCAGGTAGACTACTTGATAGTGCAATAATAGTAATTGGGCTGAAATGTAGAGAAAAGTATAGTGGTTTATCCAGTTCAGAGGTTCTCCTGCGCACACCTAGTATCAGACATTTCATTATCAAAGGATCTGAGACACCTGCAAGTTTCTCTGATGTGGAAGAGGAGAAAGAATAACAGAAATGGTGTTAACACCCAGGGAATACTAAATTTACCATTATTTTGAATACACAGAAAATGCTTTTCTGTGCCATGAAGCAAAATAATGAAAATAATCTATAGACAAGCGTCTTGATGAGACAAGTTGATATCTTTGAGCATTACATTTCAGGGTTTTTTTCCATTGTTTACATAAATTGTTTCAAGTGGCCAAGTAAATGACTTCTCTGAACATTTACTTTGCAGTGGTTTTACTTAGTGTCCTGCAACTGTGAAACTAGAATTAAAACTGTGCTTGAATCTTTCTCCTCTTTTCAGTTTAATTTGACAGAAAAATACTTTGTGTGGTTCTGTTAGTTCCAAATCCAAAATTCATTTTCTGTGTTGTGCAGCTGCCATTTGTTTAGTGTCTGGAACTGACAGAGCCATTTAGTTTGGGACCACAGGTCCCACAACAACAGGGAGTAAGAGTGAAGAATAACACCATTCTAGTTAGAGTTTTGTTCCAATAATTCAGTGTTGAAAATAAGCTGCATTGAAACCCAACAGCTTTCAAATGAAAGGGATTTTAAAAATTAATTTGAAAATTGGAATTTTATTTCTAGGTTTCTGTGATGTGAAGTAGTGTGTGTACTATCCAAATAACAACAGAAATTGTGGAGAAGAAGTATTTTGGTACAGCTGGTATGCTGATTTCTCAGATTATTGAAGTCATCAACACTTCAGTCACTCACTTCAACTCTGGTGTTAAACCTTGTCTGATGTTTTTACAGACCTTTTCTTCATCCTGTTGGATGGCAACTTGCACCTTTTTTATTCATTTTTTTAAGGATAAAGAATATTTTCTGGAGCAAAAGAGCTCCTGTTTGTCATGTTCAGTATATATTTCTGTCAGCTTAATTAATGAGGCTTTAAATGTCTGTAGAAGGAAGGGAAGAGATATACTCCTTGGGATAATCAGTTTCACATGGAAGAGTGGTTGCGCAAGTTCCAAGTCTAGTTGCAAAAGGGAGATTGTCGATTTTCCTGATGAAGCATTATGTTTGCTAGATAACATGAATTCAGACATAGCTGTAAAGGTTTTAAGAGCCAATCTTGTCTACCTGTTGGAACAGAGGACTTGAGCATTATTAGACTACTTCGACTTCATATATGACTAGTGTATCATTAGACCTCTGCGCTTACTCATGCTGCCATAAAACTTAATACCTTTCTGCCGCATCTGAACTTTGTGGTGTTAATATTGTTACAGTTCTTCTCCTAAGTATTGAAGACAAAATAAACTAAAGAAAAATCAAGTGAAGAATCTGTAGCCTAAATGGGAACCAGCTAATGTGCCTGTGATGCTTGTATTTCAGATTCAGTGCAAGACTGCCCACGTCACTGTCATGGGAATGGCGAGTGTGTATCAGGTGTCTGTCACTGCTTTCCAGGATTTCATGGAGCAGATTGTGCTAAAGGTATCATTGTCCCTGTGTTTACAAATAACCACAGTGTGTGTCTGTGATGTATGGATCTTCAGTGGCTGCTAGTTAGCATGGGTCCAAGCTAGATTCAAATAGATCAATATGCATTTTTTTCCTTAGATCTCTTAGTTAAATATGATTCAGTGGTAGTATTGCTACATTGCCACTGAGGTTCCACAGCTACAGATCTTTTTGTGTCAAAGGTAGTAGACAGAAATGGCAGAAAAGATTTATTTTCTGCTAAACTGGATGAATTATCAATGCTTTCAGATAATCCTTAACTGTTCTGCAACAGAAGACTTGATTATCTTCATTGGTAGCATGTAATGTATTTTCTGGCTTGGCTGAGCCTTACTTCCAATACATAGCGTCTTTCTTGCATATACAATTACTCTTTGACCAAAGGAAGATCACATTTTTTAGGAAAAGAAGTAGGACCCGATAAAGTCTTAAAATAGACTTTTTCTTAAATGTTGATTGTAGATTTTAGCAAGTAAACCTAGGAGACGCATAATTATAAAGGATTAAACAGAAATCTAAAAGCCATCTATGGATTGGCTGTATGTATTTACTAAGTTTTTCTGAGAGTTTGGGATAGCAGTCACAGGGAAAAGATTCATAAAGGAGGACTTCTTTAGTTTATACAGCTAGTAGCACATATGTTGTCTAAATTCAATGACTACTTGTATTCCCTGCTGTTTCTGAGCAGTCAGAACATTTTACAATTTACTTCCTTCTTAGTGTAAGATTTAGGCATACTATCAGTAGCATAAGCTTATAATTATTTTCCACAGGGATAGGGTTGTTAGTGTTCAAAGGGTTTGGAAAGCCTGCTCTTTGAAAGGTTTTTGACAGGCCTCGAAGGGTCTTAGCAATGTGCTCATTTCTTCTTAGATTCCTGACCCAATCCTGAGGACAATTTGTTGTGCCCCACCTCTTTCACTGGTGTAGCAGGGTGGCATCCAGCATACCCATGTGTGTCTACAGAATACTCCTTCAATAGCTGTTATAGTAGTACTGGAGGGAGTAATTTCCATTTTGTGTCTCCATGTTTGGCTCTTGAAGGTGCCCCAGTATCAATATATATGTATATATATAAATAGAAGAAAAAACCCCAAGGGCCTTGGAAAGCTAATGATGTTATTTCAGTACTAGCCCTACTCATTTTAAAGAAGGCTTCAACTAGCTTGCATGTTGTTTGATTACCTGAGAAATTAAAGCACTTTGGCAAATCTATAGACGAGATATTTGTATATTACAAAGTAAATGGTATGATAATGTGTGCTATAAATACACAGTGACAGCTATATGCATTTCTGTGGTGTTAACCTGTGAAAGTATGCATGCAGTGACTGTGTGCTTCACTGCCACCCTTCACACATCCATGGCCATTAAATCAAGCCATTTGCATTTTGAGGTGTGGATCAGCCCTGCACTGTGTACTGAACCCCTATGTAACACTGTATTCTATGTTAATGCTAGAAAGTACTTGTTCAGGCTGTGTCAGATAAGTAGCTTTTTTGTAGGGTACTTGTCAGACTGTATCTGCCAGGCTTCTCCTGCCCCTCAGTACTTTCCCTCTGCTTCCTGCCTTGTCCTTTCTGTGTTGTCTCTTTCTCCTCAAAAGCAGAAATGGTGTCTTGGAAGCTTCTTTCAACTCTTTTACTGTTTTCTTGTCAGACATCATGGTATTTCTAAAGAACAAAGAAGCTTGAAAAGCTACATAAACTGACGAAAAAGCTGTGTTGACAGAACTCTTGTGCAGCTACGTGCTTGCACAGGAACACATCCTTACACTATGAGACATACCCAGAAGGGTACTGCTGAGCTGGGTGCCAGGGCTGTATGCCTCACCCATTTCACAGAACTGTCAGGCCTCTTCTAATGTCCACAGATTTTTCTACTTATTTGAATGCAGGTTATATGTGAGAGCAGTTTCAGAAGACAGAAATCAGAACTGGAATTGGCTGCATAGCAAAACACAGTAAAATGAGAGAGAGAATTAAATATTTTCCGGAATGCTCTATGTATGGACACATGTTTAATATACATTTACCATAATGTTACGGTTATATTTAAGCTGTCACAAGTCTTTCCATCTGACTTTTTTTAATTATTATTTCCCTAACAACACATCTTTCACTGTCTCAGTTCTCCACTATAAAATAATTTGAGGCAAGACTTAAATAGACTAATGTGGAGAAAATGTGCCCTAGTTCCTCAGACAGCTTTTAGAACTTGATTCATGCAGTAACACAGCAGTACAAGAGCTTCACATAGGGTGAAACCCAGGTTTGATAGGTATGAAGCATGATCTTTTATAGCAGTGAGTCTCCTGTTACAGGGCTGCTCTTGAGGGCATCAGGAGCAATGAATCTTGCAAAAAGTTCCCTGCAAGCTTATTGCATACAGTGTGCAGGTACTCCCCCTGCTATTCCACTCCATTCATGTAGTTCTAAAAGATAAAAATGAAGGAAATCTATAAAAGACAGCTCAGATTTGACTTCTGATCCATTAGTTCCAGGAAAATACCATGAAAATTACTAGAGATGAACTTTTGGACCAATCCACAGGCTGAAATAAGTTTTCATACCCTGATTGAAGTGAAAGAAATTTCACCCTCTCAAACACTCTTGCAGAATACTGGGAGGGTTTATTTCTCACCCTTATCTGTGGAAATAGCTTATTCTCAGGTAGCCAATATCAACAGATTTATTCCATCCTTGCTCAGGCAAGATTGCCTGTGAAATCATTTGGAGTTTAACCTAATTAAGAATTCCATCGTGCACACACAGAGGTAATCGTACATTTTAATCTCATGTGGATAAAACATGGCACATAAAGAAAAAGAAAGTCTGATAATCCAAAGATAATGCAGTGGGTGGAGATGTATCCTGATAAAGAAAAAGTGTACAGTTAAAGCCAGTGGAAGATTTGCTGTAAATTGAACTGCACCATGAGTAACCTCCTGTCCACGATTATCTGTAGGAGTTACTGATAAGAAGAGATGCTATGGCCAAGGATCGACTAAAGAATCAGACATGCAGCTATGATTATGTTATTTTGGTGTGTTGTTCCTTTTTTATATTCATCTCTATTTTCCTGCAACCTCTATGGCATAACCACCCAAGTATATCAAGATGTCCTTCTTAGCGTTCCCACTGTTAATGTCTAATAATAGTTTGGTCTTTCAGCTGCCAAGTTCTGTGGTAAATCTGCAAGCAGGCATCCTTTGTCATGTCCTGCTTTTCCCCATCTGTAGGGTTCAGTGTTACAATGAGTTGGATTCCTAGAAGTGACTCAGAGTTGGCTACAATTTCATCCTATCTCATAATGTATTTGAAAGGCATGCAACTCTTCCACTCCTTTAACAAAGATACTGTCTGACACTGATTTGCAAATGTGCTCAGAGCCTCCTTCAATTTCACATTTTAAAATACTGGGATTTGCATCATGAGAATATTTAGCTAATCGGAAAAGGTGAAGCAATGCACCATCACATGGGATTTCTGCATTGACATGATGAGCAGAGCCTGTTAAGAGGTGGTATCTCATTTGTAACAGAAGGAAAAAAGTTGAGTCAAGTCAGATGCCACGAACTTGCCATTTAACAGATAACTTTCTGTTGATTATGCAAGGTAATAAGAAACATGTTTAATATTTGAATCTAAATGGATTGAAGGTTTTGGGGTTTTTTAAACCAGAAATTTGTGCCATGTTTGATCAGTTGACTTTTTAATCTGATTTTTAAAGCTCTTAATTATTCAGATTTATGTTATTCGCAGTTTCTTTTCCTGTTCTCCTTGTGTGGGTTTTTCATTCTTTTATTTTCATTCTGTTTGTTTTTGGCTTACTGGCAAAGGACGGCGCCACTTTAATAAGTATAAAAAGAAGGGTAGGTTTTTTCAAATTTCTTTTTCTTTCTTTTGCAACATCTATTTAGTTTGACATAGTTACTAAGCTGTAAAGTGTAGTCTATATATTTTTGAATTTATTCTAATGGATTTGCTGTTTCTGATGATTGCCCGCAGCACAATAAGAGTTCCTACCACTGCCATTTCCTTTGTTATGTGTGTGCTGTTAATCTCTGCATAAAACTGTAAAAAGCTGACAATTATTAGGTAAGTAAGGTATAATTGCTAGAAGTAGCAACTCTTGCTTTTTCTCAGTTGTTATTCAAATTTCAGTTGTTTGGGACTCTTCTTGCTCAGAGGTTATTCAGAGCCTTATTGCTTGGGCAGTGGTGCATAAAATAATGGTTTTTAGCCCATTGAATATTCTGTTTGAAACTATTCTCTTAGTGCCATGTCCAGAATGCTCCCAGTGGCATAAGATGTTCTGGGAGTGATTCCAATGGGGAAAATATGAATTTTGGAGTGCATCTTGCCAAATGACTCAGTATTCAGTTCATTGCTGTAGAGTGTATGGTCCATGTGAATGAACGGTGTCCAACATATGGTGGTAATGTATAGGAGATAATATTTCCTCTGTCTGTTACTAAGGAAGACAATATTTGCCTTTATAACTTGGCTGGAAATTTTAAGAACTGAAAATAGTGCAAGCAGACTGAAGCTCACTGGTGTTTGAAGGGAAAGGTGAGAGCTGATACTGAATAGCCTTTCTCCTTTGCCTGTCCTGCACATGTTTGTAGCCTGACAGGAGCGATGGGACCCGTGGTGAGGCAGTACTTAGGGTCTTCTGTGACACAGTCAAACTGGTGAATGTGTCTTGTACTATTCAGGTGACTCACTACAAATTTGTGCAATAACTGATTATAGATGAGACAAGTGAAGTATGTTGGATTAAAGTACCCCAAGCAGATTGGTTTGGCAGACAAAAGGAACAATAGTACAGGAAAAATGCCATCTTTATGGTATTATAGAGATTGTCATGAGTAATAGTACTTGTTAAAGCTAATCTGTCGTGCTTAGTGCTTCACAAGCAAAACAAGTAAGTAAAGCCAGCGCCTACCTCCAGGAATTTACCATGTCAATACAAGCTGAAGGGGAATGAATGGGAGCCAGCTGACAGTTGTAGAGATAAAAGGGAAAAAATGTGTCATAAGCACACTAGCAGTGTGAATGTTGTCAGTTTTGGGGAACACTGTGATTAAAGGCGGTTTTGAAGAGGGATAATGGGGCAGATAGATAACATCATGTGGGTGATGGAGGGCAAATGGGGCCTCCAGAGGAGACAGAGCATACAAAAGTGCTCTTCTAAAAAGCACTTTTCCAATTTGACTTTCAAAATCATTGTAAATCACAGAGAGGCTGAAGTCATAATTCTAGCAGTGAGCAGTCTGGGGTAAAGCTGTTCTGTAAATGAAGTTACAGCATGAAGCTCATGTTCCATGTGACAAGAGGAAAGGACCTGAAACAGGACTGAGAAAGAAGAGCCCCATTTGATGGATGGATTAACAGATTAACAACATGATTTTTGCAGCACTGTTGCACACAGACAAAATTGAAGAAGGCTGAATTTATCAATGCTGGAGAAAAAGGTGCTGATCTAATGTAGGTTTGATTTCCTGAAAGCTAGAGTAATAATTGTGACATGCAATGAAGAAGAAGTCTGTAAGACTTTGTCAAAGCCTGAATGTGAGGTGAGGAAACAGATGAGTCAAAAATAACATCCTGATTTTGAACCTTAATGATAGGTAGAATAATGGTATTGACCATTGTGACAGAGCAAGAATGCAGGGGAGGGCTGAGAAGTAGTGGGGTAGGGGGAAAACAGAAATAAGAGAAATAACAACTTCATCGGCAAGCACTTCATGTGTTCATAATCATAGCATGTCTCATCACACTGTACTCAAAAACAAAAAAGGATTTTAAAAGTGTGCTTTTCTTTGGAAATGCTGCATTCATGACTTGTCACCCACACATAGCTACATACTTCCTTGCAGTTGACAAAATTCAGCATGTTCAGCTTCTCTCTTAGTATGTCTTTCTGGGTGGGTTTGGTTTTGGGGTTGGTGTGTTTATGTGTGTATGTGTGCCAACTTATGGATGCGCTGCAGCAGCAGCACAGCCCTGGCTTGTCACTCAAATCTTCTCTCACAGTGGGTAGAAGTGTCATCTTGCTACATGAACAGACAGGGCTGTCTTTGGCAGTGTTCCTCTCCATCAGTCCCCACCTCTCAGACTTAGTACCTCAACATGCCATTGTTACAAATTTTCTTCTTCTTTTCCCAGCCTCATATTGTATTAGCAGACATTTCTCATTTCTGGCAAACCGATCATGTTCTCACTTGCCTTCCACTGAGTTCTGTGTACGGGGCAGTGTTTGCCTGTCTGCCCTCAGTTTGCTTAGTTTTATGGAACTGCAGTACACTCTGAATAAGGTTTTGCACTATCAAGTGTGCCTAAAATAATTGCAGGATAAATAAATGGACATGTAACCTGTTTTGACAATGATTGACAGTCACTGTTGTCCATCAGCTGCTAGCTTGCCTGCATGAAATGAGATAATAGCTTTGATCCAGTGTCAGGTAGACAAGTAAAGCCAACACAAAATCCACCACTCTAATTGGCAATTTAAACAGGAGCCAAGAACTGAGAGGGTCACAGGCTGAATTCTTTCTGATTGTTAGTGGTGATGGCTCCAAAAGGGTCTCCAAGCGCACAGTCAGGAGTGCGACAGGGAACAGGATACAGGAACCATCATTTCTAGTCTGCAGCTTTCCTCATCAATCCCATGAACTGTGGGAGATTAGAGATAAAAACAGGGGACTGAAGAGTCTGGACTCCAGAATTCTGCAGCAGACACCTTGTTAAATTTCTGTTACAATAAGTCGTTCAGCACCCAACATTTCGTTGCTCTTTAAAAACACGTACATTGTAGATGAAACGTGTTTAGCAGATGTTAGCAAGGTGCGTGCTATTAGTAACAGGCTGGTAGCATAAAAGTACTCAGAACACTCTCTAGCCTGGCTGCGCGGGTGCTTCATATCCTCTGCATTCTTTGTAAGGGAATATTTATAAAGTTGAAATAAAGACCAAGGAGCTACTATTAACATTGTGAATACTTGAAAAAAACAGGCTTTAAAAATACGGATTTCAGCAAGCTAAATATGATCTTCTCATTGTTGTTAATGCTTGTATAGCTTCTGTTGATTCCAGAATTGAATTCAGGGTTATAAAGAATTTATCTACAGAAAGCTTGTCCTGAATCACTGCAAGTAGGGATTGCTCGTGTTGTTTAGAAGCATTTCCCTCTTTTCCTTTGTTACAGTTGTGCCCTTACAAGGCAGCAAAAATGTTTTAGAATTTTTTAAAGATATTTATTATATGTTGTTAAATATACTAGATGTATCTACCACAGCAACTTCATGAGTTTTCTATATTAAAACACCAGCAAACACACAGCCACATTTGTGCTACTGGATTGCATTGCCCTTTCATGTGTTTCTAAATTCACGTTGCAGTGTACGAACTTAACATTATGTATGACTCCTTTTCTCAAAGAGCTTTCAGGGTAGTGTTTCTGCTGAGAAGGTAGACTTATTTCTGTAGGAGAAAGCTAAAAGCTAGAAGTATTAAGAAAAAAAATGGGGAATGCCAAGGAATCCTGCCCAAGTTTGTGGCCTTCTATGATGGGGGTATGGAACTGATGGACAGGGGTAGAGCAGTTGATGGCATCTACCTGGACTTGTGCAAAGCATTCGACACTGTCCCACATGACATCCTTGTCTCTAAATTGGAGCGACATCAATTTGATGGATGGACCACTCGGTGGATAAAGAACTGGCTGGATGGCCGCACACAAAGAGTTGTGGTCAATGGCTCAAAGTCCGTCTGGAGACCAGTAACAAGTGGTGTCCCTCAGGGATCAGTGTTGGGACCGGTCTTGTTTAACATCTTCGTCACTGACATGGACAGTGGGATTGAGTGCGCCCTCAGCAAGTTTGCCGATGACACCGAGCTGTGTGGTTCGGTTGATACCCTGGAGGGAAGGAATGCCATCCAGAGGGACCTCGACACGCTTGTGAGGTGGGCTGATGCCAACCTCATGGAGTTTAACCATGCCAAGTGCAAGGTCCTGCACCTGGGTGGGAGCAATCCCAGGCACAGCTACAGGTTGGGCAGAGAAGAGATTCAGAGCAGCCCAAGGAGAAGGACTTGGGGGTGTTGGTTGATGAGAAAATGAACATGAGCCGGCTTCAGTGTGCGCTCGCAGCCCAGAAACCAACCGTATCCTGGGCTGCATCCAAAGGAGCGTGACCAGCAGGTCGAAGGAGGTGATCCTGCCCCTCTACTCTGCTCTTGTGAGACCTCACCTGGAGCATTGTGTGCAGTTCTGGTGTCCTCAACATAAAAAGGACATGGAGCTGTTGGAACAAGTCCAGAGGAGGCCACGAGGATGATCAGGGACTGGAGCACCTCCTGTATGAAGACAGGCTGAGAAAGTTGGGGCTGTTCAGCCTGGAGAAGAGAAGGCTGCGTGGAGACCTCATAGCAGCCTTCCAGTATCTGAAGGGGGCCTATAGGGATGCTGGGGAGGGACTCTTCATTAGGGACTGTAGTGGTAGGACAAGGGGTAATGGGTTAAAATTTAAACAGGGGAAGTTTAGATTGGATATAAGGAGGAAATTCTTTACTGTAGGGGTGCTGAGGCACTGGAATGGGTTGCCCAACAAAGTTATGAATTCTCCATCCCTGGCAGTGTTCAAGGCCAGGTTGGACAGAGCCTTGGGTGAGATGGTTTAGTGTGAGGTGTTCCTGCCCATGGCAGGGGGGTTGGAACTGGATGATCTTAAGGTCCTCTCCAACTCTAACTATTCTATGATTCTGTGAATTCAGTAATGATGGAGGAAGGAAATAGCTGAGAAAAAATTACTAATGCTACTGCTGGTCAAAACATGATAGGTGAAAAGAAGTCCCTGATTTCAGTGTA